TCACCCTGGTAGTTGGCAGGATACATCTTCTTCCTGTGCTTGAAAATTAAAATTATATTTGTGCATTTATAATCCCCTGCAGTGGGTGTGATAAACAAAACAAACCACTACGTGGACTTCAGGGTCAGACAGCATCACTATTACCTCTTGGAGCTCCTGAGGATTAATGAGTAATGGATATGCAGGTGCCTCACACTCAGGGGGCCCTGGCTGGATGGCAGGTTTCATTTTCAACAGCCGCCTCAGGATCATTGACTGTAATTTCGTGATCTCATTTGTGAGTTCTCCCAGAGTTTGTCTGGGCTAGGAAATGTGAAAATTCATAGGGCAGTTGGGGAATCACTTAGGATGTCAGGACTTAAAAATTGGTAAATAAGAGGAAAGGATTGTTTATCCTGACTTTCCTGTATGAACGGTACCACTGAAGAGCCAAATCATAAGTAAAGTTTTCTTTAAGACTATGTTAGCTAATTGGTAGAGAAAAAATGATAGAATATCACCAATTTGCAACTCGTAATGAAATGATAGGTCCAGGCAATGATCATCAATGGCTGCTAAAATCACCCGAAGAAATATTCTTGAAAAAAAAATTGAACCCAAGTTTGACCAAACCTCTGAGTACAACTGCTAACTTACAGAAAACATTGTCAATTTGGAATTGGCAAAAATCCATACTATAGGAAACTCTGGAGTACAATTATGTTTCTTCCACAAAGAGAAAGAAGAGAAATGCATCCAAGACCTTAGATTAGGGGCACCTGAGTGGCTCAGTCAGTTAAGCGTCTGACTCTTGGTTTCAGCTCAGGTCATGATCTCATGGGTTGTGAGATCAAGCCCCACACCACTGGGCTCCGTGCTCAGATTGGGATGGGGGGCCTCTGGAAGATTCTCTCCCTCTGCCCTCTTCTCCCAACCCTGCACACACAAGCACTCCTCTCTCTCTCTCTAAAATAAATCAATCTTTAAGAAAAACACTTTAGATTAAAAAATGCAAATCAGCCAATCAGAATATGGGGACCTGGTTTGGATCCTGATTTTTAAAGTAATTTTTTAAGAAATACAATTATTATGATGTTTATGAACAATTGGGAAAAAAAGATCTTCTGACTTACCTTAAACTAACAGTTCCCTTTAATCACACACATTTTGCCCTGTTCTACCCATCAGGGGCCCAGGTCAGGAGTACATGTAACCCACCTACCATTTGTCTAAATATCTAAAAAAATATTCTCTTAGCTGAGGTAATCACCTCCTCACACACACACACACACACACACAAAATCCCAAACCTGGAACTTTGGACAAAAGCCTGCAGGCAGGCAGTTTATTTGGGGGGTGATTCCAAGGAAGAGACATGGGGGTCTTAGAAGAGAAAACAAGGCAAGAAGGGAAAACCACCCCAAGTGTATATTATCAAACTGATCACCACTCTGGGCAACTGGCTTGATCCTTCTAGGGCTTCTCCAAAGAGCCATGTAGAGTACCATTGAATTACCCTCCTGAGGAATAGAAGATGGGAACATTTACTGCTGATTCCTGAGTTCTGGAAGTCAAAGTTGCCCAAGGGGGAGTTACCTCTCTAGCCCTTCTAGTTTTGTACATGTGTCAGAATGGCATAAGCATCCTAGCATATGTTCTCTGGGGGAAGCAGGGAAGCCCCCAGGAAGGAAGGGGAGCAGTCCACAGTGTAGCTGAGGCAAGGTGCTACTGGGTCACCGCACAGGCAACTGGTTGCCATAGCAATAGCTAGACTGAAAGATGGGCAGGAAGGATGTGAGGTAGAGAGCTGGAGATGACTGTGACAGAGATCAAGCTAATACACTGTCGAATCAAACATGCCCTATCCTCTTACATTGACAAATCACTTTTGCAATGACTGGAAGGCCAGATTCAAATAGAGACTTCTCAGGCTCCTTTGAGTTCAGCCTCAGAATATGGTGGCATGGGAAGATTTGATCTCTGGTTCCCTATCCATGCCTGCCTCCTTCTCTGCTCAGTTCAGGTCTACCTCAGGTCACAAGGGGTCTTTCACACACACGTGTGGACACCCCACAGCTCTGAGCTCTATTCACCCCTCCCTCCAAACAGCTGCTCCTTGGCCACCTAGAGCTCTAGGGGAGTGCACACTGATGCCCTTCTCAGGAAAATAGACCTGGTAAGAGACCCAGGCAGGCCCTAGAACCAGTCCAGAGCCTCCTGAGCACAGAATTTGGGAGTCTTGGGCACCCAGAGCATGATCTAGAGCAGGAGGCAAGTCCGCTTGGCCTCATATTCTGTGGCTGGAAGAGAGTCAGAGTAGAGTCCTTTAAAGCCTGGGGTCCCAGGCAGGGACCCCTCCTGCTCAGGCCAAAAGGCAATGCCCATTCTTTGCCACCCACTAACTTTACACTATCAGGTCTTGGAGTCAGACAGAACTTTGTCAATCCTGGCTTAGGCTCTAAGCAACATTACAGAAATTACGTACCTCTTCAGCTTCTTCACTTGTAAAAGGGCAGGAAAGGGGAGGCTATTTGAGGGTTAAAGGAGCAGTATTACATGAACACCTACCCTGTTTCTGGCATACAGTAACCCTCCATAGCTGGCAGGTCTGTGAGGGCCCAGAAGTATTGCCTCCATACAATAGGATCTAAGGCCAGGGTTTGTGCAGCTGAGGCGGGCTGAAGGAAGGGACCCAGGCTGGAGGCAATGAACTTTCTCTGGTGCAACTTTCCTGGAAATGTATAAAAAAGAATAATTTGATAGATTTTCTGCAGAGTCCTAAAGCTTTTTTAAGACTTGCTCTAGATCCCACTGGACTGTAAGCTCCCTGAGGACAGAGATGCATATCCTTCTCTGTAAAACCCTAGCTCTTTGCATATTGTCTCACACATAGTAAGTGCTTAATAAAAAAGCACTGGGTGAATGATTTCAAATTGGGCTTATTTCCTTTAGTGGAAGACATTTATTTCCTATGTTGGCTCTAAGGTTTCCATAGACATCTCAAACTGGAAGCATTCTCTTTCTCAAACCTGCTTCTTCCCCTAGTTCCCTGCCTCAGTGTGCAGAACCATCAATGCCCCAGACCAGCAGTCATGCATCATGCTCAGTACTGCCCTCCTCATCACCCTATAATTTATACCTGATTAATTACCATGTCCCAGTGATTATATCTATTTAGTAGCTTTTTAATTTATCTCATTCATTACCACAAACCTAGTTCAGGCAACTATCCTCTCTCTCTTGAGATACTGCAGCATTTAGCCACTCACCTCACACCAACTCATGTTCCCTGAATATGTCCTCCTCAATGCAGCCAGAATGGCCTTTACACATTGGACCACATCCCTGCTGGGCTCAGGGTAAAGCCCAAGGTCCTTAACATGGCCTGCAGGACCCTCTGGTATCCATCATCTGCCCTACTAGACTATAAGATCCTTGAAAACTGTCTTTATCTTATATTTCTTTTAGCTCCTGTGATCAGCCAGAAACTCACTGTTACATAAATGAGTAAAGTTTTTAAGATCAAAACAGTTTTTGATCTATTGAGAAAAGTATAAAATTTAAACCATAGACTTAAATTATCAAACATCAGAGATGAACCAAAACCTATGAGCAAACAACTGCCCCTGAGTAAACTCACGGTGGGTTGGCCGTGGTGAGCAGGAACTACATCCAGGCTTTGGTGCAGTATTCTAGGCTCCTTGCACTCTCCTTCCTTTGGATATGGAATTAATTTAGTCTTGGAGTGAGTCACTGGACTATTTCTAGAAATCACCATCTTTCTCTAGAGTGGTCTCTACTGACATCTGACATACTTAAGCTATGTGACTGCTCGAGAGAGCCTGTGTTTGTCTGTTTAAGAGAAACTGTCCTCAGGGATTCATCTTCTGCCTGGAAGGTTTTGATCAAGGATGAGGGAACTGGCCAATCTTTGTGTTCATCACACCAGCCCTGTGCTCACATCAACTTTCTTTTCTCATCAGTCATAGGGGCACCTTCCAATGTTAGCTGAAGGTAGAGTATTCATGGTCTGATTTCTAGCACCAGGATCATGCCATCAACAGGTTTTACCTATTTCTTTGCTTGAACAAAATGCTTAACATCTCTGAATCTCAATTTAGTCATCTTTAAGTGGGGGTAAAAACTGTAAATATCTGATGAGGTTATTATGAGGATTAAATGAGATGCAGTGTGTTTTGAGTATAATATCACATTGTAAAGGTTTTATGAATGTCAAGTATTGTTTGTTTTTTTAATGCTTTGATTTAAAATGGGATTTGGGGGAGCTACTAAAACATGTGAAAAATTATAAGATAAAAATAAGTAAATGAGAAAACCAGAGTGAAGAGGAACATCACATCATTCCACAGAATCATGAGGATTTTAGCTTTCTTATATCAAATACCAACTTGGCCAATCATTCATTTATTGGCTGGATCAGCATTTAACTTTGAGCAGCTCTTCGGTATGGAGTGAAAGACCTTGCTTGTGCTTCAGTCTGGGAAGAAGAACCCAAAGATACCCAACTAAAACACGAGAGGGAGTCAAACTATAAGAGACTCTTAATCTCAGGAAACAAACTGAGGGTTGCTGGAGTGGAGGGGGGTGGGAGGGATGGGGTGGTTGGGTGATGAACACTGGGGAGGGTATGTGCTTTGGTGAGCGTGAACTGTGTAAGACTGATGAATCACAGACCTGTACCCCTGAAACAAATAATACATTATATGTTTATATATATATATTTAATCTATAAAATGGGGATAATAGCATCTGCCCCATAGGGATGCTGTGAGGATTAAATGGTCTTTGTAAAATGCTTAGAATGATGCCTGGCACATAGTATTTACTCAATAAAAGTTACCTATTATTAAAAAAAAACACAGTGTAGCTGGAACTATGGGAGAAATGGAAGAGGATATGTCTGCCAGGGCTTGCCTGGAGAAATAACCCTTACCTACAATGAGCTGGGTTTGCAGGTACTTCCCCATCCTGATGTGATCTGCTTTGTGTTCACATTTCAGCAACCACCCTGAGGCTGAACGTGACAAAGCAAGAAGATGGCCAAGATTAACACCCAGTTCTCCCACCCTGCAGTAAGGACCACGGACAGAGATCTTGACCACGTTGAAAACGGCCTCAGCAGGTAAGATGGGCTTTCCATTTTATGCCCGTAAAATGAGTTGTTCCCATAGCTGATCTAGACTGTGGGGTAAAGAATGCCTTAGCCTGTGGCCAACCACAGGTTGAAGGGTGCGGGCTATTCATAGAGCTCCTTCTGACTTCATTTATTTCATCTCTCTTAAGCCTCAAAACCCACTGAAGTCGTTTTTATTCTCATTTTAGAGAGGTGGAAAATGAGGCTCAAAACATTATGTAACTTCTAAAAGGTAACAAAATGAAGATTCAAATACAGCAAATTAAATTAAATTTACTGTAAAAACTTCTCCAAACTGCCATACTTTCCCAGGTACACATCAGACATTTATTGGACTACAGAGTCCAATAAATGCACCAGCCATTGTCCTGGGCTCTAGGGATGTAGTATGAATCAGCTCTGTCCCTCACTTCCAGTGGAAGGTCAGGATTCATACTGTGCTCATGGTCTGCAAAGAGTGGGCTGTGCCTTGCCAGTGAAGCCAGTTGCCCCATCAATGACATCCCCACACAGGCAGCCATAAGGAAATCTGGACCTTGAATTCTACTTCTAGCTCTGTTCGTAGCTTACTAGTAGACTGGGGAAAAGCCACTTAATCTCCCATGCCTTTCTTCAACTGCAAAATGGAGCAGCATCATTTCCAAGCTCCTGGCACAATGGTGAGGAAGTGGGAGTGTACCTATTTGGTGCAAATGGACTTAACATTTTTATGTTTCTTAAATTCTCAATGAATTGATTGAATTGAACCATGAGAAACTTTATTTCCACTGAAAACTTCTCCCTCCCATGATAACGGCATATTATCCAATGACCATAAACTGCAATGCCAGTCCCTCAGTGCTCACATCCCTGGTATTGAGCCCTCATCCACCATTTATCCTCAGTTACTAGTGTATATCACTTCTTCTTTCAGATGCATATTTGTTTTTTTCTGTCCAGATTCTTGGTCCCACTCCTTAGCTAACTCAGCTCATGAGTGATGGACAACAATTTCCAAAGAGATTGAGTCCCTGTAACTACAAATTTATGTAGCCCTAGGACCCCACCTTTGGGGATTTCAGGCAAAGAGAGGAATATCTCAAAGCATTCCAACAGATATTTATTGCCTCCAACCATTTTAACATGGTGCTGGAGCCCCAGGGATTTTTGATATGACTCAGGGCCATCAGAAATTCTCATTCTACTCAAATTTCTCCCTCCTAACTGGCTTACTGTCAATACCAGTGTCCCACCACTGGGGACTTATTCCTTTAGTTTAAGTCATTGCCCCTAATTTAAAAGAAAAAAAAGAACACTTTTAGGACAGATATCTGCTATTAAAACTTTGGTATGCATGAATAGCTTCCTTTTCACATCTGTGCTAATAAACCTCTTGGGGCAGGGTGTTCAAAGAAGATTGGGGTGGAGGGGAGAACAGCTCCAAGCATGGGGCACAGCAGTAAAGTGAAGCTCCCTGGGCAACACTGGGCTCCTGGGACCTTGGGCCCAATGGGAGAAGGACAGAAGCTGTTAGAATCAAGAATTTGAAGCAAAATGGACCTTTCCCCCACTGCTCCCTTTTGTCTCGAGTGGGACATCATCAGAGCCTCTCATGGACCTTCCAGACTCCCTGGGGCTGAGAACAACAAGGTCTTAGTCTGGCTCTTTACAGTTAGATACTCAAGAAAAGGCAGGCCCAGTTGGTGGGCTGGGGCTCCTGCCCAGAATGCCTGCTTGACCAGACACCACCATGGTCCATCTCTGCCTGATTTGTCCTGGCTCTGCCTCAGCCAGTGGCCTACAAGCCCAGCCTGAGACATGGGCTGTTGAAGAGAGCTCACCGGGTCTCCTGGAAGATGACCCTTTGCAAAATAAATTGCTAGCTCAATTTAAGCCACAGGGACCCCAGCGATGGGCCTCCAGCTTCCAAGAGACTCTGGGGGCTCATGCTGGGTTTATGCACACTCGGAGGGTTGGTCAGCCACAAAGTCAGGGGTTCTGAATTGATGCCCTTCGACAATGCTATTTACCATCTTCATGGATGGGAAGAAGCCCTCCACTCTCCCTCCTACCCCCCATCTCCTGACCAGGTGATGACTAACAGGCTCAGGGTCAGGCTGGCTGGGTTTGAACATTGGCTCTGCAACTGACCAGCTCTGAAAAGTTGTGCAACTGCTCCGGACTGCACTTTCCTCCTCTGCATAGTGGACTAGTACTGACCTCAGAGGGCTGTAGTGAGGTTAAAATAGGTGAATGCTTTCGGCACTGTCCCTGCTGTGGAGAAAGTGTTCAGTCAGTGCTCACTGTCAGTCTTGGAAATGAGTCTCCCTCCTGTGCGCCTTCCCTGGTGTCCCAGGCTGGAAGCCTTCTCCTCCTCTGACCTCAGATAGCTCCAGCTGTCCTGACATCTGGATCTGGCCATTTCCTGCCTGTGACCAAGTCATGCTTTCTCAGCCTGACCACTAGTCTGTTCTCACTGAGCCTCACTTGCGGCCTTGCCCCACCACTCCCATGGTAAAAGCTTGTTGACAGATTAATACAGAATCCCATGGAGACACTATGGAGATTTCAAAAAAGAGAGAAAAAGAGAGAGAAACATCATGAGACAGATGTTTGCTTTATCTTATGGAGGCAGGACTGGGTTAACAGATGGAAGTTTCTGGAATGGGTTCCTTGGCATTACTAAGGATTGAGCATGTGTGTTCAGGCTGGGGGGTGGAACAGCCTTGGGCCAGAGGCCAGGTCCAGGCCCCTCCTCTGCTTCCCAGCACAGCCCAAAATCTGTCTAAATACAGACTAGTTTTCCCTATAAGATTCATTTGAACAGGAACTCTGGCTTGTACACACAAAATTTTTAAAGTTTCAAATCACTGTTTTAGGGGAGGAAATGGTGTTTGAATAAACCATAGATCCTTGCTTTAAAATTCAAATCCTGGGCGCCTGGGTGGCTCAGTTGGTTAAGCAACTGCCTTCGGCTCAGGTCATGATCCCAGGGTCCTGGGATCGAGTCCCACATCGGGCTCCCGGCTCAGCGGGGAGCCTGCTTCTCCCTCTGACCCTCTCCTCTCTCATGCTGTTTCTCTCTCGCTCGCTCTCCAATAAATAAATAAATAAAATCTTAAAAAAAAATTTAAAATTCAAATCCTTTTAGGGGCACCTGGCTGGCTCAGTTGGTAAGCATGTGACTCTTGATCTCAGGGTCATGAGTTCGAGCCCCATTTTGGGTGTAGAGATTACTTAAATAAATAAACTTTTAAAAAATAATAAAAAAACAAAATTAAAATCCTTTTAGAAAGCATAATGGAGAAGTAACTGTGAGGGTTTTTCCTTACATATTAATAATTCTTTGTCCTCAATGATATCAAGAAACTGTGCTAGTAGGAACCTGTGTGTCACTGTGACCTTTGCTGAATGCGCCCAGGAAGGAGGAGATATCACGTCCCCATCCCCTGAGACATCCCTGTCCCGAAATCTTTCACCAAATTAGAGAGCCAGATTTCAGTTTCTCCTTTTTTAAATCATTGGGATCACTTTCCTGGTGACAAACCATAAGGAAAGATGAAAACATTGCAGGAAGGAGCTCTGTGAAATGAAAACATTTCATTTGAACATGTTTTGTTCATTTGAACAAAAAAGTCAAAACGCTGGAAATACCAGAAATAAAATTGTCTTGAATTTTTCTTTTCTATTTAGATCTGCTTAGTTGACTTGATTATTTAAGAGCAGTCTGGCATATTTGAAGAGATAACGCAGTAGGGAAAGACTTCGGAATCTGCGACAGATTATTACCATGAGGACCGGGGGCACCTCAAATCTCAGATCAATCTCTTTGTGTAGCTATTTTAGGCGAGCTTTGGGGCACCGGGGTTTGTGTCCTACCGAAGAGAAGCCTTCTTCATGCAGCTCTCTGAGCAGAGCCCAAAGCAATTATCACCAAAGAACACCATTTTCAGCCTGCTTCCCCAGGACCGAAGACAAAAATGCACTCACTTCAGTTCCCTGGTCACATGTGGCCAATGGCAGTGCCTGTGGGTCAGTCAAGTTCCTCAGGGCTGGAGAGGAGGAAAATAAAACAAGGTATGATCGTCGCCACCCTTGCTCTCAAAGGTTTTGTTTACTCTTACGTCTCCAAAGTCACCAGAGGAAGACATCAGGTGCTCCGCAAAGTGCAAAGCTGACGACAAGTTGCCATTCTGATGAGCACCCCTGTCTCCTCCCAGGGACAGGGGAAACTTTTACCTCACAGACACGAAGTTCCTCTTTATAAGAAAACTTAGAAGATGAACATCACAAGTTGAAAATTACCTTCTCCTTCGAAAACAGCCACATCGTGTTGTGCTGGCTGCTCTTTTTCTTGCCAATCGCCAACTTCACCGAGCTCCTTCCTGCAAAGCTGTCATCACGCTGCCTACAGTCGGCGTCCACAAATGGGAGGGCAGCTTTGGGGTTGTTCTTGCCCCAGACCCCTCTGCCAGCTCCCGACAGGACAGGGCCTGGCCCCCCATCTCTCCTGCCTCTGTATTTCTCTGGGAGGTTCTGGATCCCCATTCTTCCATTGGTTGCCAGAAGTGGCTCCCTTTTTCTCAGTACCTGTGGGTCCTCGGGGACTCAAAGTGTCACCTCAGACATCTGGCTCTTCTCTCTTCCCATCTCCTCTTCCATCTGCTGGGTAAAATCAGTTTCTCTGAGGAATAACTAATTGGATTGACTAAATACCCCCACTCATTGAACGAGGGTAGAGACTCGGGAGCTAGAAGACATCAGAGAACTTAAAGCATCAAAAAAACAAGTGGGAGAAGAAAGGCCCGCTTGGGTCCCTTGAACTTACTTCCTAGAAGGCTTTCCCTATTCTTCACAGCGAAATGTGCCTTTTCTGGACTTGGCTGTTTGAGCACTACTGAAGTCAATACAAAATCACCAATTTTTCCTTTAGTTCCTTTTTGAAGACTACAAAACTTTAGGGAAGGTAAGTGACCAGCCCACAGAACACCTAGCTAATAGGTGTTAGGGTGGGGATTTGGACCCAGGCCTCCTGGCTCCCCACTCTGCACCTGCCCTTCGAGCGAGTGTCCCAGACCCAGCCCCCACATGGGAGCCCTCACCGCTGCCAGGAGCAGGCCTGCTTTGGAATCTGAGGTGGGTTTTGCCCTCCTCACATACTCATCAGCTCTGATGTCATTGATTCTTTTGCTACTAATGCAAATAAATCTGTTCTCAGGATGTGTCCTCACGTAATTAACAGAAAGCAGACTGGGCAGAAATGCTGGGCCGGCTTCTTGGTGCCCAGAGCTCCCTGAGGAACTGCTGGTGGGGACAGAACACCTTTACCCTTGGGATTGCCTCCGGATCTTCCGGGCACACATGCCGTGATGGAGCTGCAGCCCAGCTGTCAGTTGCTGCACCCCTAACCCCACCACACACCAGCTGCTAGGATCCAGGGACTAGAGATATGGACTCACTCACTTTCATCCCACTCTCCCTCCTCTAGGAACTGCCCAGGGTGCCTTGGAATGCACATTCTATCCTCATAGTATACAGATTATTAGGAGGGCTAGGGGATCAGAGCTTCTGAACTGCAGCAGGCCCTCTGGCAGTGTTTCCCATGAGTCTAAAGATGAAAAACGTGGGTGGTCTTTTAGGGGTAAGAGGGAGAACTCAATTAGATGGTTTGAAAATAAAGAGCCATGCCCACATAGTATAGTCAGGTGGACCAGAGCCATGTCTCCGGTGGCATACCACAGGGCTCAGTCCTCAGCCATGTCCTATTAAACTTTTGCTTTAATCGGTGCCATATGTGAAAATACAGAGAGCAGCTTCATAGAGTGGAGGAGAGCAGGTTTTTTTTTTTTTAAGATTTTATTTATTTATTTATTTGACAGAGAGAGACACAGTGAGAGAGGGAACACAAGCAGGGGGTGTGGGAGAGGGAGAAGCAGGCTTCCCGTGGAGCAGGGAGCCCGATGTGGGACTCGATCCCAGGAGCCTGGGATCATGACCTGAGCCGAGGGCAGACGCTTAATGACTGAGCCACCCAGGGGCCCGAGAGCAGGCTTTGACATGGGATGGAATGACATTCAAATCTCGGCTTTGCCACTTGGCCGTATGATCTTGGGGAAGTTATTTAACCTCTCTGAACCTCAGTTTTCTCTCTTATGCGGTGGTTATGTGGATTAAATGATAAGATCTATATGGCTGGCATTTAGTAAACAGTTAATAAATGGCCTATGGTTTGTGCATTGCATGTGAACCAGATGGAGCTGGGAGGAAAAACTAGCATGGCACCACTGCATACCAAGGGTCCCAAAACATCAAGTGGCTCAGATAAATGGAAAGTCCAGAACTTACTTCAAACAAACCAATTATACATGCACAAGATAGGACCTTCTGGCTTAACAGCAGCCCATGTTATAAGACTTTGGGTTTTGGCTGATGGTAGTTGGTGATAGGGACACCAAAGGCCTATCACAAACCTATCACTCACAAACCTACAATGACCTCTGGCTTGGGGTCCAGTAACAACAGAGTGGTCTCAGTCTCCATGCCCAGCCAGGCAGGAATGCAGGAACCTGCTCACAGGAGCACGACCACGATGGGCAAGAGCCTTGAACCTGATGAGGTGTGGCTGGGTGAGCTGGGGGATTCCAGCCTGCAAAACCAGAAGGGGCACAGGTGTGAGAGCTGTCCCTTCGTGTCCCATCTACACAAAGGTGGTCATGGAGAAGATGAAGAGGCCTGCCTCTGTGTGGTTCCAGCACAAAAAAAAGAAGTAGCCTTGGTCTGAGGAAGCTGAGGGACGGAAGAGCCCACTACGAAGATGGCCCAGGTGGGCCATGGGACGATAGTGAGCGCCCTGCGGCTGGAGATGGCATGGATGTTGTAGAAATAGAAGTCAGCAGATCTGCAGCTGGGATTCAGGACTCTGCCTTCCAATCCCTCACTGAGGAGAGAGAGAGCCTTTTCCTGACATTAATTGTTGCTTACTTCCTCAACTGTGTTGCCACCTGGTTAAGAAGGCTGATTAGGTTGCAATAGATCATGTGATGGAATTAATTTGTCCTGCCTGGGCTCTTCAAGACTCATAGAATGAAGTGTAAATCCCTAGGGGTCAATGCCTGGATGGCTTTTAATCAAGCTGATCAAATTTTTTAGCCCTAGGAGATTTTAAAAGACAGGGAACGAAAGGAAAATATGCCCAAACACATTGGTCTTATTCTGGGCAGTTCAACAAACACCAAGGCTCTGCTGATGTGACTGGTGCTCACATCGAGCCGTGGGCACCTGTCCTATTTGCGCTCATGCTCTTCACCCTGAATTGCACAGGTGAGGTCACTTGCCCAGCCCCCCACTGCAGGGGACAGAGGTTGGATTTGGCAAAAGGCCACAGTGGAAATGAATTTTCATGCGAAATCATTGTACAAATGCACGTGGAGGTCTAGGCCAATTCCATACGATATTCCAGGACACCCCTCTTAACCAAATACCAAATGGGCTCCTGAGAGGGCTGCCGGCCAAGCACACAAATACCTGCCCAGGTAGTGTGACTGTGGTGTACCCATAGTCCGGCCTTAGCAGATAGGATTTCAGTATGCAGAATGGTGTTTGAACCAGAATTCTTGTTCTGGGATTACTGTGCCAAAACAGCTGCTGTGGAACCCGATGGTGGGCCCTGGGACACCCTTGCCCGGTGCTCGGATGAGGACCGTGTGCTGCTGGCCTGCACCCTTAAGTCCATGGGCAGTGGCTGGACAAGCTACCTTCTGGGGTCAGGCTTGCTGTAAAAGAAAGGCCATGTTTATCCTAAAAGCTGGGATCTGCTGGATCCGGCTGGAGCACAGACTGACAGAGTGAAGACCAGTGCTGGCGGCTTTCCTCATTAAGCAGGACATCTGGCCAGCTCATCCCTGAGTGTGTCCAGGAGGGGATGAGCTTGAAATCAATTTAGCCTGCTGCATATTTGATTTCCTAGGGTCCACTCGCCGAGCGAGGAGACTTCGTCAGAACTGCAGCAGATCGCCATGGAGACCAGAGGACTGGCGGAGTCCAGGCAAAGCTCCTACACCAGCCAGGGCCCCGCCAGGTAACTGATCAGGCTCAGCGCTCTCCTTGGGAAGAGGGAAACCAAGGCAGGAGGAAGGTAGATGAGTCTCAGGAAGAAATGGGGGGGGTGGGGGACGGTGGTGGAGGTGGAGGTGGAGTTGAAGATTTGGAGAAGAAAATGGGCAGGAGAAGAGCAGTCAGAAATCTATCCCTGAGTACTGTCCTCTCAGATCAAGTGTTCGAGCTGAGAAAAACCTAAGAAAAACTGCTGTTATCTGGAATTGCTTTCATATAAAGTGATATTGAGGCACTTGCTCAAGTCTGGAAGAATTTAGAAAAAAGCCAACCAGGTAGGGTTCCAAAAAGAATTGAGAAACAAGACCAGGCAGCTGCAGGAGAGCACCGGTGGGACCTCAGTGGTGCGCAGATGGCCCTAGGGACACTGTCGCGATAGCCTCTGGCAGGTCCTCTCGGGTGCATAACTCACATCCTTGCAAAAGGATTTGAAAGATTACCCAGGCTCTGAGCCGACGACATCTGCACTTGGCTTCAAGAGCTGTGCCACCCTGAAGAAGTCATCTTACCTTTCCAGATCTCATCTGGAGATGCATCGAACAACGTGAGGCCGGCATCAGAGCCAAGTGATGACTCACGATAGGTGCTCAACAAACATAGGGCTTGTTATTTCCTTCCACCATTTTATTTTTTTAACCAATGCTGTAGTTTTATATAGACACATGTTCTACAGTTTTTGCTTAAGATTATTACAAAAATCAATTCCTCTAGTTATTTTTCATATTTTTCATTGCGGAGGAATATTTGGTTCACTAGCCCCTTATAGCTGGGCATTTCCATGATTTCCAGAGTTTTTGTCTTACTAATAAAATGCTGTCTTAAGGCTCACTGATTGCAAGGAAGAGGACACCTTCACACCAGCCCATATTGAAAGGCCTGGGGGCGGGCAGAGGCAGGAGGCGGGTGCAAGCTCAGACAGACCACCTCATGGGAAGGGAGCCAACGGGGCTCATGAGAGGTGAGCGGGGGAGGCACCTGCCCTCTCCCTCTCATTTTCTCCTGGCGTGTCATGATCTTTGTGATTTTTTTTCCCCCTGCATGTCTCCTCTGTTTCCAGCTTTCTCTGTTCACACATCAGCAGGCACAGGCTGAAAATGCCCTTTGCTATATACGATCTTGAGTGGAAACACCCAACCCCATCTTGGAGTGGTTTTTATTTCAGAGGCTTGAGTGATTCTCTGTGGGTGTCTTGTCCATTCCCGGGCCTGTGGGCTGAAGCTGGAGTGCGGAGCGTGACCTTGCTTCCAGCCCCTCGGCAGCGGGAGGGTGGGGGCGGGAGGAGTGTCCAGAGCAGAGAGGCTGGGCCACGCAGGCACCTCCGCGTCTGTCTGCAGCACCGGCTGTTAACATCTCTGTGTGTGGAATGTCTTCTTGCTTTAACTTACTCTCTTAGGCAAAGTTCCCAAGTGTGTGATTAGGGCCTAAGCACGCGACAGCCCATGACCTCGTTCTAGACTGCTCAGAACTTATTTGATTGAGAACAGTGGCATGCACCGTAGGTACCAAGTCAGGACAACCAGAAACTGAGAAGCAGAGTTCAGGCTCTCTTCTCATTCCCCTTGGAAGAGACAGGGAAGGCAGGAGGCAGGGCTGAGGGAAGGCTTCTCATGGAAAGCTGGAGCTAAGATGGGCTCTGGGGACATGGGCTGACCGGTCTCAGGTGCTTGCGGCCCCCGCAGGGTCTGGCTCCAGGAGATGGGTCAGCGCAACTTGCCAAGGAACTTGTGTACAAGCCTGGGGAGGAAACAAGAGTGTGTATAACAAACAATAAGACAAGGGTTAGGAAAAGAATCTAAGTTGTATCTGGGCACTTGTTCCTTTAAACCTTGTTCTAAATTTTATCACCATTTGCAGATTTGATTCTTTTCTATTCCTATGCTTACCAGTCATAACAAAGAGTTCTACAAAAGGAATGATAAGCAGAAAAGCTGCTAATAACCCATTTGAAGAATCATGCCTTTGGCAGAGTCCAAGTGTTAAAAGGACAAAGTTATAATGAAGACAATGCCCCTTATCTAGAAAGCTCTGTCCCAGATGGCAGGTTCTGGAGGAGAAGGGAATAAGGCCCCAATGGAGTAGAGATGCACACCTGAGCCCAGGGCCCCCAGGACCCATGTCCTGCCAGTCATCTCTACTTCCGCCCCAGCCCTGGAAAAGAGGGCTTTCCGTCTCCTTCCTCTCTGCACTGGCTGCCTGTCCATGTCCTTCCAGGATGTCTCGCCTGATCATCTCACTGCGAGCCTGGACTACCAGGCACTTACACCATGAGGCCCAGAGAAGAGACTCCTTCCTGGAGCGTTTCCGTGGAGCTGAGCTCAAGGAGGTGTCCAGCCAAGAAAGCAATGCCCAGTCAGATGTGGGCAGCCAGGAGCCACCAGAGAGAGGGAGAAGGTAAGGAACCAAAGGGATGAGCCACCTGCACCAGGTGGGGGTGGGGCAGGAAGCATGCTTTGCTCCTGCAGCTTAGATCCACTGTGTGAGTGGCCTGGAGCATCAGCCTCGTGACCGGGGCCTTGAAGAAGGTGTCTGGGGTGGGGGAGTACTGCATGCTCTAACAGTCACTGCCCTGAGGGCAAGAAGGACTGCAGGAGAAGAAACCCTCTAACCAGGGTCCTCAGCCTCCTTTGATCCTGCACAGAGTTTCCACCCGCGCCCCCTGGAACTGATGCTCTCAAATGCATCTGGGGATGCTGGCCTCACCCATCTCTCTCCATCAAAGGACCCTCCTCCTAGATTGCACTGTGACCCACCTTACTAAAAACCAGGGACTTTAACCGATAAGCCTAGGGAGTACCTAAATGGTACCCACAGTTTCATGCATAGGTTTACATACAATCTTCTGGGAGGAAGGTCTGAAGGTTGGTCAGAATGTTCAAGAGGAGCCAGCCATATCCCAGATCAGGATAGGAACTATGGGGGTGGGGAGTGTAGGTGGGGTAGGGTGGGGCACGGGGAGAGTGTTGGCTTTTTGGTAGGAGAAGGGTCTGCAGAACAAGCGCTCTGAGTATCTTCATGCATGGCCCACCACCTGACTGGGGGCTGTGGCTGTTGTAGACATTTGAGAGAAATCTGCAGGTGCTGACTTACATCCCCCCATACACACATCCCACACACAGAGCTGCTGCCTCACCTCCTCTCTTGTTCTTGGGAAGTCTCCTCAGCCTGTGGTCAGCAGGGAGACCACTGGGCCACCACAGGTTGCATCCAGTGACACTGAGCAACAGAAGTCTCTTTAGGACCCTCTAGGCAGTCGGAGAGGAAGAGAGGTAAGATATGGAGGGGGAAGCTGATCACCTCTGAGCCTCTTAAACACGAAGCCTCTTGCTCAGAATCTGCTTTCTGAAAAAGGGGGCTTAGAAAGATCTTTTGGCTGAATTCTCTAGGTAAGGCCAAGATTTATAAGATGGAAAGGTGAAAACAAGCATGGTTGTTGCAGAACAGGTGGTCCTTATATAATTGCTGGAGAAAATTCTTCGTGTTTTTGTGTCAAATGAGCAGAAGAAGGGCTCAGGTGTGAGTGGCTCAAACAGGCATCCAAGGGCCCCTGGGGAGGGAAGGTCATGCAGCCTCAGAGGAAGCAGGATGGATCTTCCAGGTGCTTCCATTTTGCTTCCATGTTTGTATGTTTGTGTTGTAGGCTTATTGTAGATTATGCAGTAGATTGCAAAATATACAAGCATATTTAAGATAAAATATGAGAGTTCAAGGAAATTTCTTGCTAGCAACCACTCTAGGAGAGGAACATTTAGTCTCCCTGCTGGGAAAGGCATGAGAATTGCTGGCTGAGATGCAAAGGCCTGGCATTTTGGGGCTCACGTTTTCACCTGGGCTTGGACCACAAACCCTCAGGCTTTCTGGGCTTGGGAAGGGACCACAGAGGGCCCGGGTGCTGGTGGGGATGTGTGCAGGGCCATCCCAGGTTCCCAGGGCCAGGCATCCTAGACCGAGAGGGGGCTCCATGACTATAAGGCCTGTGTGCTGTTGGCTGCTGAGCCAGAAAGGAAGGAGGGATGGCAGATAAGGAAGAAGAGAAGCCAGAGGAGGAGGAGGGGAGAGAGGTTTGCTACTGAGCCAGCCAGACTGCTTCAGTTCCTGGTGAGCAAGCAAAGACTTCTTTGCTAATGTGATCAAATTATCTTCTCTACAAATTTAGCCTAATGAAGATGAACATTGGCCTCTTTGTCCGTTTCCCAATGTCACCAGATGAGCAGAGGGTTGAGCTAGGACCCCATCAGGGTCAGGTCCCAACTGTACCTCAGACGCCTGGTCACTCACCTGAGGGTTCAGAGTGGGTAGGTGCATGTGATGGTGCAGGATGGTGGCTGATCAATCAGGGAGGCTTCCTGAGGGAGGAAGACTTGGGATTTTTCCAGGCAAATCCCATTGGCAAAGCAGAATGTATGCAAAGACAGGTCTTGGTCATTCTGTTGGTTTGGCCTTCAGAGACCCCAGACACAGAGATGTGGTAAACACAGACCACTATATCGCAGGGAGCTACACTTTCTTTCCCAATTTCACAGGGGTTGGGAAAATCCTCGGGGCACTTTCTGATGATCAGAACCTCTCCCAAAACAGTTAGAGCCACATCCTGGATGGTGAGAAGGAGGGAGACTTGAGCAGGGGTGAGCAGAAGTACCAGAATGGCATTTGGCTCGATGTTTAGCATCATAGAAGAGGCTCCCTGAGAGCCAGGCAGGAGTATCACCAGCCAGTGGCTTTGGTCCTGGCCGTCCTCTGTGAATGGTCTGCAGTGACGATAGACAGGCAGCTTGAGGCCACGCTGGCTTTATTAAACTAGCTGTGTCAACAACACATGTATTAGCACCTGAGCCCTAGGAGATGATGCCCTTTCCTAGAGAGCACCGTGAAGGAGGACCGCGCGATTCAGAGAGCACCGTGAAGGAGGACCGCGCGATTCAGCTTTAAATAGATGTGCAGTTGGGTGCCCAACCGGCCTCCACTCTCTCCCCAGTTCTTACAGAGACCAGGGTGGTGGGCCCGGAGTGTTAAGATTAATGTGGGGACAAAGGTCCAGGGCAAGATAGACTCAAAACTGGGACAGTTCTGTCCACGGTCTCTTTTCTGCCCTACAAGTCAAGTCAGATGCAGCTGCTGTGATTGCGTTTTCAAGGTGGGGGGAGGGCGCCTTCTGAGAGCCCTGCCTGCGCAGATGAGGGGAGCAGGTTGCTGCGGCTGCTGAAGGTGCTCAGCCCGCTTCATCTGAGTGCACCCGTGAGGGCAGGTGCACCTCGGCTTCATGTCTGTGCCCCTCATAGCTCCTGGCACACTGCCCGGCACATGGTTTAAACTGAATGAAATTGAGTGGAACGCGAGGCCAGGATTGGGTGGGATTCACATAGCAACTCTCATTTATTCAGAAGACTCAGTTTAGCCAAAAGTTCATCCTCTCTTCCCACAAGGTTTACTACAGCTAACCAGTCACAAAAAAATGTTTGTTCTGGATGCTTCAAGCTGCGTGGAAAGGCCCAGGGCACAGGGGATGGGGTACCGGGATAACCACCTGGGGCGAATGATCCCCAGCAGTTGGAACTGAGCTCAGATTCCTATGCTGCATTCTGTTTACTTCCCTGCAGTGGCTGGCCCCTGGCCAGAAACAACGCCAACGCCTGCAACAACTCAGAGGAGTGAGTACCTCTGCTCCCCAGCAGAGCCCCCTCGCTTTCCCTGGTCCCACCGGCCACCTTCCTTCCGGTAGATGCCCCAGCTCCGCCTCCCTGCTCAAACATGTCTGCTTCCCGGGACACCACTAGACTAGAATCCCGTTCCTTTCATCCAAATACCATCCCTGTGGACAAATGGTGAAGGGACCTGGTCCATATGACTTCTTGGAGCAAGTCATGTTCTCTCTTCCCCTCATTTTTCTCATCTATAATGCAAAGGGTTTGAATTGCATAAATGTCTTAAGCCTTGACATCTTCTATCGCTATGTATTTGAGGGTGCAAACTCTGAGTTCCTTTACAGAGCTGTGCATATTCTCCTTCATGATGAGAATGCATTTTCCTTTCTACAGCCTCAAGCTCCTGGGGGCCCCAGTGAAATGCCCTTGTCCTAAGGCCAATCCAGGCCAATTTGGAGGGTGTGATCAGGACAGTGGGAAGAGGAAAATTAAATATTTCCAGAGACTAGCCTCTTGAAATGTTGACCTGCTGTAATTTTTATCACCAGATGTTGAGCTGGCAGATCAGTTTGAGGTATGATTCTGGCAAGTGCCACTCAAGCGTCCAGGGAGGGTGTGTGCATGTGTGTGATCATACACGCGTGTTAGCACGTGTGTGTGTGCACATTCTCCAGCCTTCTTTATGGAGTACCATGGGGGTAGGCACGGGAGGAAGTCTCAGGTGGAGCTTAGGGAAAAAACCATCAATATCAGCAAGAAATCTGAATTTCCTGACTTCCATTTGAAAGAGAAATGTGCCAAGACTTTTTCTTATTTCCCTTTGTTCCTTGGAAAGAAGTTTTTCCCATTGCCCTCCATGAAACTTAGTTGCATTTTGTTTGCATAAATATCGATATCCAATCCCGAGACTCAAATGCCGGCAGTCAAGATAAATGAAATTATTTAATCTGCAAAACAGCAGCTATTGTGATATGTGCTTGATCTAAAGCCAAGCTTGATATGAAACACCTTTGAAACCCTGGTGTTGGGTCCCGCAGTCTGAGAAAGGCTCAGGAAAGCATGGACAGAGGTCCTGCGGGTCTCTAGCCTTCTCTGTTCTGGGGCTGGGATGTAGGCGAGGATGGAGGGGGATACTGTTGGCTGCATCAGGCTCTTATACATCTTTTCAGATGGGTTCGAATCCTGGATCCACACTGCAGTCCAAGGATCAAGGACAAAATTGGGGACTGTCCCAAAATGTGACCATCTGGGCACAGAGTTACAGAAATAACTCTTACGGACGTCCTTCCCCATTCTTCCACCACATTTCTGGTATTTTCACTTCGTCCCATGGGTCCTGAATCATTTTTCTCTCTCCCGGAGCTAACTGCTCCCAGCCCAAACTGGCGTTGTTTTGCGGCTCTGTATAGGTCTTTCAGGGCAGTGCTGGGTGGATTCACAGATGCAGCTGGATGGCGCTGGGTCTTCCATAGGCCCACAGCAGGTTGATAACTAGGGGAAAGACCAAGGCCTGTAACCCCCAGCCACACATCCTGGCCTGGTGTAATTAAACTCCCAGCGGGTCTAAGCGTGCCTGATAAGCTTGTGGGCAGCGCCCTCTGCTGGTGCCTTGACATTAAGACTTCAGTGGCAGAAAACCCTTCAAGGGACACTGCATGGTTGATTCAAGAGGACAGAAGATGGGTGACTGTCCTTGCTCCTCTCATTTAATAAGTTTAATAATTTTTTATTTTTATTCAATTTATTCATGCA